AGAACGGCAAAGCTAAAAAAAAAAACCTAGCGGCGCGGCCGGAGCGCGGATTGGGGGGGGGAGGGAGCAGGGGGGAGAGAGAGAGAGAAGGGGGGCAGCCGGGGCTACAATGGGGCGCTGCCACGCGGCCCCTCCCACCGCACCCTGCTGCCTGCCGGGAGGGCTCCGCTCTGGTCGGCGGGGAGGGAAGGACGAGGACTGCCCTGCCGGGCTTGCTGCAGGGCGCTCCCGTCCTCCACACCGCCACCCCCTACAGGGCAGCCAGAGTGGACAAAAAAAAAAAAGCGTCCGTGCTGCACTAGGATTGGGTGGAATGCCACCTCGTTCAATCTGCCGCCCCAAGCACCAGCTTGCTCGGCTGGTGCCTGGAGCCGGCCCTGCCTAGAGCATGTTGGCTAGTGGGAAACCATAATCAATAAAAATGAGCTCAGGGCTACTTGGCACAGACTGTAGCTGGGTTTTGTGGTGTCTCACCATTCAAATGGCTTTTTCAGTGTTTATTTTTATTTTAAACTTTATGCTGGGGAAGTATGAAATTCTCAAGGGTCTGATTTTCAGAATTTCACTGAGTATTTTTGAGATGATAGGCTGAAAGATAATGTTTTTAGTCTGCTTCCTTGAAAGTATCTATTCCTTATAGCTGTAATATAAACTGCATAATGGAGAGTCCTACTCATCAGCCATACTTTTTGCATAGTCACTGGTGACTGAGAGTAATCAATAAACCCCTGGAGTTCCTCTAAAAATGGCCACATCCAAAATGTAACATATGTTATCCACATCTCTTCTGGAGTAGCAGAGTGTATTTTTCCCCTAAACTGCTATGTGAGTCCAGTGAGAGGACTTCTCCATTAGGTTAAATTGTGCAGTGTTGTGCAGCATCTTGCAAGCTAGTTCTATACAGTACATTGTAAAAGGTACTTGGTGCTCTTCATGACAGCATGTGCCACAAAAGAATGAACTATATTCGGTGGTTTTGATTTCAGTTTCCCATCCAAGCCTCGCCTTCCACAAGGTTTAGAGGGAGGTGGAATTAAAATCAGTATTAAACTAGAGCGGAAATAATAGATTTTAGGATGCTTGTACAGGATTGACAGGATCTGGGGACAGCATGGATGTGAGTGGCTGGAAAAGATGAGTGAGAGGGGAGTTGAAAATGACACTGAGGTTGTGAGCTTGGGTGACCAGGAAAATAGGATAATTGTCAATATACTGGTGGAAGGGGGGAGAGAGTGGGAGGGAAAATGTGGAGTTTGGTTTAGCCATGTTAATTTGAATTAGTAGCAGAATGTCCAGCAGAGATACTAAGAGATGTAGGACTGAGTGGAGGACTGGAGACATGGTGGTAAACCATGTGAGCAGGTGAAGTCACCCAAGGTAGTCTAGAGAGAATATTGGGTTGAGGATAGATCCCTAAAGGATGCTGACAAAAGCAGGAGAGAGGAGAAGGGGTGTCCAGTGGAGATAGTGAAGGAGCCATTGGAGCCATGATAGCACAGAATCATGGAAATTTAGAGAGGTAAGCATCGAAGAGGAGCGAGGAAGAAGCCAAGCTGATAGGCAAATCATGGAAATGAGAACAGAGAAGAGATTCATCCAGAAGGTAGTAATGGATGATTTCATGGCAGTTTACTGGAAAGGGCCAGAATGATATTATAGGGCATCCAGGAGAGAGTCAGAAGAGAGGAAGTCAATGCCAGTGGAGTAGCCTGTAGTCAAAAATTTTTGAGGTAAAGGGGAGATGGGTTGGGGAGACAGGTGGGACCAAGGGAGGACTTCAGCATTCTGTTTCAGAGGACTGGAGAAAGCATAGCATTGCTATAAGATAGGGAGTGCAGGGTCCAGAAGCTTTTAACTTAGATTGATCATCTAGCCTTTATGGATGCATATTATGGTTTAGTTGGAAATACCATTGTGGTCTGAGAATGTTGTCATCTTTTCAAGAATGTTCCTAATTCTTTTCCCAGGTCACCTGCATTATAGAGACTAGAGACAAAATCCACACGGCGCAACTCAGAAATGCTCTCCTGGAACGCTACCCAACAATGATGTGGACGGAACGGTGATGAGCAAAGCACAATGGAAAATGCTGAGGTTCTTTAACCAACACATTATGGAAAGCTAAACTTGAGACACTAATAACAAAATATGCATAAATCTTTCCAAACTGAACAGTTAGCAAATAGCTACAGAATCAATTGATTTATTTATTTGCTCACAATAAAGTGACGGTCCTTTTGAAATCAAGTAAAATTTGAAGCATTAGATTAGCTCAGGAAAGCTTGATAGCCTCTGCTTGTGTTGGAATTCATTACTAAGTTATCAAGTGGCTGTTTGGATTTTGACTGGTATGTAGAATCCTGTGGTGTTCAATAAGTAAATAGCAAGAGGACATTTTTCTTTAGTTCATAATGCAGCTCTCTCATCACTCTTCAGATTTTGATGCCCACTGCTTTAGTAAGTAATGCACCCTCTTTCTGCTGGCTTTTCACGTGTTACTACTATGCTCATTTTATGTTTTCCAAGCCAGAGGCAGCGCTTCATCTACTGAGTCTGCCTTGGCAGTTGTACAGGTGAATTTATGTCTGCATAAAATACCTTCACTTTCATGGGCAGGGGGAGGAAGGGGGAAGGCTAATGACACACATTAAAGAGACTTTGTTGAAAGGGAAAACAACAGTTTGCATTTTTCCTAGGGGAAGATGATCATGTTTATATGGATGTGGCTCCTAAAAATGTTGTGATTATAAAAGGCTGCTTTAATGTGATTAGACCAGTGATTAATGTGCATCAAATGGGAACAAAGGGTTTCTTTGATCCTATGGGAATTTACCACAACAAACAATATATAAAATGTTTATTTCACCTTACTAAGGAGAGTATATTCCCCCTCCATAACCTCTGCACTTGAATTTTGTGCTTAGAAGTCAAATGATCATCTTAATCTGCTCAAAACAGAATCTATCCAGCTCACGTGACAGATTAAGTATAACATTAAGAGTTATTAACTAGCTCTCTTATATATAAGCAAAGGCTGCTCCAGGAGAAGAGGAAGCATAAGTCTTAAGCAAATCACTAATGCAATTAAGAAGGAACACATTGAACTGAATGAACCTGATTACCAATTGTTACATAACCATCACCAGAGAGCTATTAATAAATTAGCACCATGAGATGAAGAGAGACTTTAGTTAGAGAAAGCTGGAGTCTATTACTGAGCCTAGGTATTCCAGTTGCCTCTGTAGTTGGATGAGTTTCAAGTCAAGCTGACCTATAATGGCTTCAACCAAAATCATTCCATTGGTTAAAATTAAATAGAATTACCCCAATATTCCAATGGGGGCATATTTGCCTCCAGCTGCTCCAGTTAGGGCTTAAATAGGTTAAATGGACATTTTGTGTTTATGTGCAGTATTAGGGCCTAATCCAAAGCCCCCTGAAGTCACTGGGCATTGCCCCCTATTTAGATGCCCAGGACTTATACACTATAAGTCCAATTTTGTTTGTAGGGGCTGAAGAAGAAGGGAGTAATAGAAGCCCTGTAATGACCGTATACATTTCTATATTACAATTAAAATATGGATCGCCTGACCTGAAATTTTTATCCCCCTCTAGTTGTTTGAAGAGCACTGTGCTTGCCCATACACTTACCTCTCACACTGTTATGGGTGTAAAATTCTGTGCTGTGTCTCTAAGAGGCGCAGCACAGAACTCACAACTTGGGGGGAGAAGGCTCTGGTGACTTACCGCTACCTCTGCCCCCTCATGATTGTGGGCTAGTCTGTGAGCTGGAAACTGACAGCATAATTGACAGCTTTGGGACCTGTGTAAGTTACAGCAGCCTAATCAGGGATGCCCTATGGACTACTGTACTGCCCTGCCCTCCAGCCCTGCCCCGCTGTAAGTGCTCTATTCTAGGGCTGGTGAGGTGGTCCTTGGAGAGCGGACGTAGAGCTGTTTTTGCAGTGTCTGTGCTGGGGAATATAGGACTTTTAGGGCTCCTTTATGTTTCTTTGGCTCTTTTATCCAGTCTAAAAGAGTGGGACTAGGTGTGAGGATCTCACCCCTGGAGTTTGACATGAAAGTTCAGTGTTTTGTTATTTTTCTAGAACCATATTTATTTGCACATGAAAACTAAAAATTACTGACATACCCCAGAGTGTTCCTGTCTTTTTGCTGGCTGTAGAAATACATACATGGCAACAGAGTGCTTACACACTTTCATCATCCTGTAAATCACAAACTATCAACTACAGCTCCATATTCCCTGGTCACAAGACTTCAAACCATTTAAAGAGAAAGCCATTAAGCCTGTTTCTGTCCTTGGAGATGCCCCCATATGACTTCCCTTGGAAGCTGAAGAGTTTGTGCACATCTAGAATTTGGCTCATGGGATGTAAAACATAAATAAGAGCCTAACTTCACCTCAACGAGTCTGGCAAAAGTCCTCTCGATTTCAGTGGAAGTTGCATGTATATATCTGAGCAGAGAATTTGACCCTACAACCAAAATTTTCAGTAGCAACCACTGATTCTGTGTGTCTGAATGCTTGGATGGCCAACCTGAGACACCATGGGCCTGATTTTCAGGGGTGCTGAGCACCCATAACTCCAGTGGAAGTCAATAGGCATTACAGACGCTCAGCCTTCCAGAAGAAGGCTGCAAGTAAAATAAAATTGTCTAAGTGTTGTCTGCAAGTGTCTACAAGTTATTGAATGTAAGTCACACATAACATTGGTGTGGTTTTATCTTGTTGTATTGGCTATGAATAATTAACATGTTTCTCATAGTTCTTCTATCCTGGTAGTTTTCCTTATCTGTTAATGAAATGATTACCAGAGTTGATTTCCATGCTACTACAGTGCTTTTTCACTGCAAGTCAGTTGGCTTTTAAAGCTAAGATGAAATATGTACATAGGTAAAAGTCATTCTGAATACTTAAATCAATGTACGTAACAGGAGAGGATAATAAACTGTCTGGGCAACCAGTTGTTTTTTGTATTCTGAAATACAATGGGATTGTCAAGGCAAATGTCTAACACATTAAATTCTCATTTAAAGGAGTATATTTAGTATGCATTGTTTTAAGTACCCTACAAGAACTTCGGTTAAAACATATTAAAATTTGTTAGTTCCACAAATTGTAAAAACAAGCAAACATTCCATCAGAGTAATATTTCCTTTTTTTGTTTTGTTAAGTTAAAATCACAACATGTCATCTTAGTAGTGAAAGATTATTCACCCTCTGATGTGTTGTTAGTACTAGAACAGTTTGTTAGTTTCAAACCCCACTTGGATCAGGAATTCAAGGCTGGTTTTACTCAGGTGTCCTCAATGGTGACATGAAATTTGCTTCATCCACCTAAAGCCCATTTGCAGAAGCCTTGTGAGTGAACTATGGTGGGGATGGGACATCTAACCTCATCCCCAAACACAGAGCTGGGCCCGGGCTGCTTCTCGGGCCTATGGAATGGACATAGGGGACTCTTCTACCATTTGCACAAAGTGATTGGGCCACTGAATCTGGGTAAATGGCCTCACCTGCAGTGCCACCCTCCATGTTGACTTAGCACAAAGACCCCATTCACAGCACACTGGAGATGCAGGATATGCTTTACAAGTAACAGACCCATTGCACCACTCAGCAATCCTCTGAAGATAAATGCAGCAGAGGGCCTAGGCTGTCTGTCCTCACCTGAGTGAATTTTGTCACATGATAACTAGGGTCTGTACATGTTCTTAGAAAAGCCAGGTGGTTAACTTTAGAGCCATTCACTATTAAACTTGGAATCTTTTAAACTCCAGTAGCTCCACTCCTGACCAAGCCTATCTTTCAGGAGTAGTCTTCTCTTGGCGCCGGATAGGACTGACTCTCATTCACTTAGATGGACATTGCTTATATTCTATGGAAGAAGACTCTAGGCCCTGGTTAAACCATTTAGAAATAAGTGCTACTCTCAGCTTTCACCCCAAGCAGCCAAACCAAAGGTTTCTGGCCCTTCTTGTTGGCAAGATAGCCTTTAAAATCAAACCTGATTGCTGGATTTGAAAGTTTGTGTTGGCAACTTTTCCTTGAAACTGCAGCTTATTAATGGCCTTCTTACCACAACCAGGCCTCCAAGTGCTCTTTGCCAGGCAAACCAAAATGGTGACTGGCCCCTCCTCCCCAAACATTCCTCCTGCACATGCACCTAGTTCCCACCTTGTGGGACAGGGAGTGGTGGAATCTTCCCCTCGGATTTCTGGTTTTCAGAGGTCTATGTTATGGGGAGGAAGTGTCTCCAGGCACATGGGGTAAGGTTTTAACTCCTGTCCTCCAGAGGGGATGAGGTGATGACATAAGTGTTATACACATCAGTAGCCAGTCTTGATTTAAGTGTAACCTGGATCAAAAATTATAGTCATTTCAGATCTTGTCAGTGAAAGCAGCAAATCTGGATCAATGAATTAAAATAACATGCAGTTCCTCAGCAGTAAACATGATTCCACGTTTGCACTTCAAGAGATAATTTCATTGGCTCCTTTCCAGGCCCCATCACCTGGGTTTTTTACATTGATGATATGCAGGAGGAAACAATATGCTTGCTTGTGATCTGAACAAGGGTAACTTGTTGACATGAGTGAGAGTGCCATTGGGCACCAAGGCAAGTATGCTGCCCATGTTTATAGAAGGCTAGTCCTGGGTTGGGAGAGAGCAAGGGGAGCTGTGTACAAAGACCCAGGCTGTCTAGCCTTCCTAGCAGTGCTTTGGATCTCAAATTTATCTGAAAGGGCGTTCTGTCTGCCAGCAAAGACTTCTTATTTCTTGAAAAGGGACTTAATTGCTCCTTCCAACAGTTAACCACCAAAGAAGCCCACCTCTGGGTTACATAAATAGTTCACTTTCCCATACTAATGGCATTGTGCCTCCTTGAATGGCTTTCTTGCTGTCTAGGCTATTCCTTTTTAAAGAACCTCTTTTTAAAATGAGTTGTGAGAAGAAAGCAATGTGTCAGACAGACATTTAACAAAAAACCCACAACCACCCCATTTGGGGCTAGCTTTAATTGAGAGCAGAAGTGCCACTGGTGAGCAGACATATGTTTCTATTTCTATTAAAGAGAGATGAATGTTACAGAGAGAGTAACAGTAATTGTATGGCCGCCTATTCCAAAATGCACTTAGTAAATTAGCTATGCTGTAAATGAACATGTCTGCTAAATTCTACCACCAGGTACACAGAGCAAAGGATGAGGCCCAGTGGTTAGCACAAGAAACTGTACGACTCCTGGGTTGGAGTCTTGGCTCTGCTACTGATTTGTGTGGCAAGTGAGTCAATCTCATTTGCTCATTTATATATCATCTGCCAGCTAGGAGCGTTCAGGCTCAATTAATATTTGCACAGCCAGTTTCCGTTACAAGCCTTGTCACATTCACATTTGATAAGGCTTGTCTCTGCCCAGATGGTTGTTTTGTTGTTTTTGGGGTGTGTGTGATGTGACATTTGAATAAATGTCTTTAAGCTATTTTAATAAGCTACCAACTATAAATAAAACCCATTTTAATAAGCTACCAACCGTAACTACCCTCCCACCCCAAAACCCTTTAATTAAACTTTTTTTAAGGTGACAGCAGCAAAAAAGGGCTGAAGTTTGAAATGAGGCCTGGATGTACAATCCCTAAGGGGGAGAAAGTGCTATGCTGAGTCTGGTGGGGAACGATTCCTAGAACCTGAATTACAAAATACTTCCAGCACACGTGTTTAAATATGGTTGTGGCTGAAATTACTATGTTTTAATCTGGTTCATTCATGCCTGCAAGGACAGACAAAATCTTGTTGCTGGCATCCTATTTTAGCCCCTGGGGCTCTGCACACCTGTGGGACTCCTGGTTGCAGCATGGTCAGCAGTACTGCAGTTCAGTTTGTGGTCACATGGAACTGAATCACTGCAATCACATAGGCCCAGCCACACCAATCCCTTTTGTCTGTGCTTTTTAAAAAGGGGGTTCTGAGACACTCCTGGCAGCTAGCTCAAGGCGCTCTCAGCCCCAAGGATAGCGGGTGTTTAAAGGCCCTCTTTAAACCTAATGTTCTAGGCTTTCTTTGGCAAATACTATAATGCACTGTCCCATGGGGCACAGTAGCCATTTTCCAGCACCTCAGGGTGCTGTAATCTCCCCCAGTTCTCTGTTTGGCAGCTTGGAAGGGAGCAGGATAGAAGCATTTGCCAGCAGTCTGAGGTAGTAGCTACAAATGACATGGAATGAAGAACCTTGTGTCTATCTACATTGCCAAACTGAATTGCAGGATGTCCAGACTGGGGCTGGGACTAACTGCACCCACTGGAGAAATAACTTGTGGCTCTCGGGACGGCCCGTTAATTGAAATCTGTGGAGGGCAAAGCCATTTTTTTACTTTCTGTGCACGGAGCTGGCCCCAGCCTTACAGGGAAAAATGGCTCACATAAGAGCTACTGTCCTAATGAACTAGAGAGTTGTTCCAGTGCTGTAACAGCTGGCCAAAGCCCACTGATGCCCATTCCACAAGGCACGCTATGGTGTGGCCAAGTCTACCCAGAGAGCCATTGTGTGATAAAGTTTTGCTGCTATAATACTGTAAAAGAAGCCAATGTCCCAGAGCTAATGGAGAATTCTGAAAAGTGCCAGGGGCTATTGATAGAATTCACCTCTCAATTCCCGCCTCCCCTCCCCACCACACACACACACTAATCCGGCCACATTATTATCATCATGGCATATCCCAAAGGGATTGAGCACCACCCAGATTGCTCTGTAGCTAGGTCTTTAAAGTGGCCTGGCTGGATATTCAGTTTCTGTCCATCGTTAGCCATCTTACTGAAGCTTTTGGTGATCGCTGGCTCTGATCAGGCCACAGAGGTCTATTAAAGTGAGTCACAGCAACCCACACTGCATCCTACAGGCCCCTCCACGTTGTCTGAGTGGGTGAGGTTCATGTTCAGACTTCCAGTATGTACACAATTTCCTTACTGTAGCTCATGGTGGGTAAACCAAGGCGAAGAGGCTGTGGGGGTGGGAGGCAGTGCACATTTACATGGGGCGCTCAGGAGGGCTGCTAAACTCTGAAATATGAAGTGCAATTTTCTGGATTTTTAGAAGATTTTAAGACAAAGCTTTTTAAGGGGGGAGGAGGTGAAACCTACCCTCTCTTTTTATTTTGATGTCTAGCATAACTTCCCGGGACAAATCATGGTCTATTAAATGCCAAGAAAAATACCGTTAAAAAGCCCAGGCTCTAAAAGCCCCATGTCACTGTCATTAGACACAATTGGACAAAAATCAAATGTAAAAATTATTTATCAGTTTCTTGTCACCAAAGTCAGCTTATCCCCTTACTGCACATGGGAAAGCTAGGCTCCCATGCCCAGTTCCCAAAGGCAGTCTGTCCTACCATGGCCTTCTCATAACATGCCAGTAAAAGACTGCCTGATGTCAAATTTTGGCACAGTGCTTTCTATTAATCAGTCAAAACAGATGTCAAATTTATTGGGTCTCCCTGGTTTGATCTTTCTTCCTGTGACCTTTGTTCCTCTATGCCTCTCTTCCTTGGGTCTGTTTTTTCTGCAGATTGACTTTTTCCCTGTGCTGCTCTAAAGCTCCACCCTCCTCAATTTTCTGTCCCTCTTACCCTTCTTTCTTCTGTTTGACACATCCCTGCATTCACTCTTCCTCTTCCCCCCGCTTCTTTGCCTCCCCCTTCCATATAATGTAAGCTAATTTCCATGGCTCCCCTTCTGCTCTCTATTCCCTTTTCTGTTCTGTCTTCCTGCTCCCATAGTCTTTTATTTCCCGAGGCGCCCTTAACCTCTGCTGTCTTGCTCTCAGCCCTTGTTGGGATTTGCAGCTCCTTTGCCTCCTCTCTCCATTTCTCATTTGTTTTGCCTCCCCGCGCTCAATCCATCCAGCATTTGTTTCCATCTGTCCTTTGCCTCACCCAGCTCCACCTATTCAATTACCCAATTCATCTGTCTCTTCCTTCCTAATCTCAAAAACTTCTCCAAATAATTAATCATCCCTGTCCATCCTCTGCTCCCAAATAAATCGTTAC